AGGACAACTTCTTTAAGAACTGCCTTCAGAGACAGTTTAAAGCCTTACAAGGAAAGCAGACCTGTGTGCTGAAAGCAGTGTTTCTCAAAGTGTGGTTTGTTAACTATTTGCATCAGAATCACCTGGAGTGGAGTTGGCAGCTTATTAAAAAGATACTTTTCCTGGGCCTTACCCCAAATCTATTGAATCAGAATCTCAATAGGGCTAAGAAACTTGCCTTTCAATAAACTCCTTAGGGGATTCCTAGGCCATTAAAACTTGAAGATCACTGCCTGTGTAGTCAGTGTCCCCCAGCTTTGTCATGTCCCTTGTTTACCTCAGTTTGAACCAAAGACTTGGAACTATTTCCAAAAATCAAAGCCACCATCAAAGGACAAAGGGGCATGTGCCAGGGATACGGAAGATCATTCCCAATGGGATCTCCAGAACTGAGCTAAACAATGAGATGGGCATGCAAACTTGTGGAAACGATGTTGTGGTAGGAGAGAAAACTCGGTGGCTTCCTGATTTGGGTATCCTTAACGGTGCTAGTCTAACTTCACACATTAAAGAACCTTTGCTTAAATTTCCCTATTAAGGGGAAAAGGGGAATTGTGTGCTGGCTAATAGGTAGATGATGTCTAAGGTCCTTTCTCTATCTTATGTTCTGGTTTTTCTACCACTGTACTTAAATGTGATTGAACAAACCCTGGACACATGAATGAGTATGTGTTAAGCAATGAAGCTTTTTACTGTAGCGAAAACTGCTAGTTTGGTCTATTTTAAAGCGAAGAGCCTCCTTAAACCAAAATGGCTTTAAAAGGTTAGCAGCTGCAGCTAAGTATGTACGAACAACTTGCCTCAAACTCTTCAGTGATACGGGAGAAGTCCTGTAGCACTGTTGAACATGAATTTCTTCTGCTCAGTAACCTCTCATTTTGGAGAAATGGTTCACACGTTATTAGAAAGACATTTAATGTGTTTAATGGCTCAAGGGTAAGCAGCCAGAAATTTTGATATTGATTCTTGGTTTTAAATTAATTAACATTACTAAACATAAATGTATTAAAAAGAAAATAGTGATTTTAGTTTCATATCTACTTTTAAATGTGTAAAGTTTTGTAGTATTGCACAGCTGCAGAATCTATAATTGTGTTTTCTTATTTTCCAAATATCAATACCTGCCCTTTCATTCTCTGCATGAAAATAAAACCAGTGACTCTTGTTTAGTTAACAATTCTTTGATGCTATATCTAACTATGCAAAATATCTTCTTTTTAATTCTGAAAGTAATTATAAAAATGTTAAATATCATTATATAATTAATAATAAAATAGCTACCAATTTTAAGGGCTTACCTTATTCAAGGCACAATTCTGAGTGCTTTCTGTATCTAACAATAATATAAGTCTTTTAAAGGTAAGTGTTATTCCCACTTTACATCTGAGGCGCCTTTAAATTGATGGAAGTCACATTGAAATGTAATAATCAGGAAGCCTCACACAGAGTAGGTGGCAGTTTTGTGGCCTCCATTTTTTATAAAATGTGCCTCCTTTCACATTACCTGGTATACAGTATGTAGACAGTAAATGTTTATGGAATTTTATTGCCACCTCCCTAAATTGCTGTGTTTCTTTTAGTATATATTTTATTTTGGACTACAGCTTAGTAAAATTCACTGATGTATAATTATGACTTTGATTGAAGGAAACTAAACTATATCCTGTTTTGAATTAAAATGAGATTACTTTTTCCCATATCTGATTTATTAGTAATCCTACTTTCCATTAGCAAGATAGAAAAGATCTATGCTTCAGAGACTGAGAATTTTACTAATGATTAATATACGCTAGCCATCAGATGTTCTGTTATTTTTCTCCCCAAACGTTAGATTAAAAGATAAGATTTTATCTTCCAATTTTGGATTCTAATAGCAAGAACTGGTGAATATCAGCTACTAATTATATTTCATTTCTTCAGCAAGGCCAGAGTTTGAGACTTCCCACTCCCTAACCACCACCACCCTCCAGCCCACCCCCCACCCCCCAGGGACCAATGAGTTGTTTGTTTTATTCTACCTAGTTTGTGATTAACCATTTTCTTTCATGCATTTTCTCATCCCTTCCTTCTTCCCCTTCCTCCCTCCCTCGTTTTACCCCCTTAGTGAGGGCATTTGTTCTTTGTCTTTTCAAATTTGTCACTTTAGCTTTTGGCTTTAGGAGTTGATATGGCAGCTTGTTATTTCCCCTCCTCACATAGGTCTGTAATGAGTAGGCTGTTTGATTTATTAAAATCTTTTATAATTAAAAAACAAAGCCATTCCTCCTTGCCACAGAACACTTGTCATTGCTTCTCCCATTGGGTTTGAGATTTCAGGAATCCAATTGCTGTGGAAACCATTTATCCCTTCATGACACCTAACTCTGATGAACACCATGTGTAGTTAGGTTGACAACTTTGGTGCTGCCACTAGATGCACTAGCACGTTTTCTGTCTTTACAAGGGAGAAAATACCACAATTATGAGAACCACACTTTTCTCTTAAAATAACTTGTTTTTCCTGTGTCTGTTTTTATTCTAATGTTTTGAACTGGATTTTTGCTGCTAGTAGTGTGCTGTGAATGATCTTGAGAGGAAGAAGCAGAGCCTCCCAGCCATGAGAAAGATTTGATATCTGTGTTGTGAAGTTCTTGTAAATTGTAATGGAAGGAACTGATGAGTAGGAATTTTGTAATTTGGGGCTGTCCATTGGCCCTACAGGCTTGTGATGATTGCAATTTGAAAATCTCAAAGTAAACATGATTCAGATCTTAGGAAGATTAATCAGATTAATTAAAATGTTAACAAAGTCTCTCTTTGATTAGAACAAATTGTTAGTTAAGGCCACTAGAAAGCATCAAGTGGCTGCGTGATCACTGTATATTTCTTAACTACTTCCAAAAAATTAGAATGATTTGCCAATACCTGGTAGAAAACTGATCACTTTGTTGTTTTTTATAGTTAATTGAATGGCTAATGTGCCTTTGAAGGCTATACCTCTCTTGAATATGTTTTGTGTAGTTTTGAAATTTGTGTTACGTATTAATTTAAACCCAGTAAGACACCTACATTTTTGTAATTATTTTCCCTTCTAACTCATTTTCACAAAAAGAAAATTTGGGAATACACAATTTCCGGGCAAAATTGTCTTGAAATTGAATTCTTAAAACCACTAACCCAGCCAGCCAGCCTACCTGCCTGCCTTCTTTCCTTCTTTCCTTTTTTTGGGGGTGCGTTGTTTCACTAGTATTTAATATCACTTGTGAGACTAGTGCTGTGATGGCATCTACTGTGTGATATCCACTTAATCCATCGGTGTGAAAGCAACAAGGACTTATTTTCTCCCTTTTGTAGGAAATGACATTCCAACTGTTTTTTGACATCTTTAATTTCAGAGGCTGCCAGTGATCAGATCAGGGTCAAGACTGACTTCAGATATATTAGTAAGAAGCAGAAAGAAAAGTGAGGTCCTGACTGTCTAGTCTCCTGGTCTACACATCTCCATTGATGAATTAAAGCTATATGGGTGTGAAATTTGGTATGGAGGCTTAGGCTGCTTGACCACCTTTATCCCGTAATAGTTGTGGAATGTGAAAATCTGAATTTTCATGGGGGCACTGATATTTCATGGCCAATAATGGGTTTCTTAAGGCCTTGTCATTTCAGATTGCCATGAGGTCTGGTTATTGCTGCCTAAATGTGTATCTGAACCTGCCTCCCAGTGAACTTACTGCAGTGGTGCTAACTTGTCTTGACACTCTTGCTGACAGTTCTAGTGGCCCTTAACACGGTCTACTTTCTGTAGTCACAGCACAAGTTTTGTGGAGGATTCAGCCTAAATTTCTGGGATGAATTTCTATAGACAAGAAATATATTGGCTTTAAAAATTAAGAGGTTTGATTCTGTTTTGAATTTGGATATCAAATGAATCTGAGCACATGACATTTTAATGCCATTTGTCTTTTCAAATAGATTTACCTTCTAATGCATGTGACGGCAGGACTTTGCTCATCAGCTAGAACATACATTTCAGAGGAGTTGTTACCTAAAATATTATCATAAGGCATAAGAAAACACACGATTTAAGTTGCCTTTCATGAACATAATTAAGAATTAATAAGCCAGTACCAGTGGCTAGTCCCCAGAATTTCCACTGTTTTGCCTTTTGTGACCTATGTTATTAAAAGTCCATTATTTTTACAGACTTTATTAAATTGGATCTTATTAAAGCATTCTATATTTGCATTTGGTCTTTCATAATTCATTATTATTATGACATTTACTTTTTACCATCAGATCTGAAAACATATCATAAGCTACCCTTTTCTCTTGAAAGAAATGCTAATTTCAAACAGTCCTCTAATAGAAGAGAAAAGCTTTATCAGTTTTTTCATTTATTCCAGATCGTGTTAAGAATACTAATGCTAGACTTCGGTATGCTAATATCTCTGAGGTTTTTTTGGTCAAAAGCTTAGAATTATTATTTTTATCCCATACTAAGTATAAAACTAAAAGACCTGCTACTACTGGAGAAAACACAATTTAAAGTACAATTCTTGATTCTAAAGGCTTGTGAAAATGTTGCTAAATTCTGTTCCGACTAGGATAATGCTAGTCAGTTTAACTTTGTACTATGCAATATTTGTCCTATTAAAGAAATTCTTTCCTCTTAAAATTCATTTTGTTTGTTTTTCTCATAGTTTAGGGTAGTACAGCTTGCAGTGTTTAAGACTAAAAATCCTATGCTGTCAGCCCCAGACAGCGTTTAGGGTGTGCTGCTTGCTTTTCTTTATGATAATCATTTCTGTATCATTTATGATGTAATTGAAAACTCAGTATAGCAAGATTTTACATACTGAGATCAGACAGGCTGCCTAATTTTAACATAACTAATAAAACACTTAATGAGTTTTTTGTTGGAGTACTAGTGAATTTATTAAACTCTGAAGTGAAACTTACTTTTGGATTTTGTCTCATTTTAGATTTCTGACAATGTGCAATAGACACTTTGGCAGTGTTGTTGCACAGACCATTCGGACTCAAAAAACAGATCAGTTTCCACTTTTTCTGATTATTATGGGAAAGCGATCTTCTAATGAAGTATTAAATGTGATACAAGGTAAAGTACATGTCACAAGGGAAGTAGAGTGTCTTGTGTATTTAATAACCTTGTAATATTTACCATCAAAGCTGACAGTAATTCTTTGTATTGCTGAATATCTTTGCATTTTAAAATATAGAACATCCTACAAAAGAACATTTTCAAAAAGTATAGGTGCTATGAAAAATGAAATATGCTACATGAAAATCCAACAGAAATGTCTTAATAAAATTGCACAGCCCTTGGGACATAGGATAATCATGTTAAATGTTTAGAATTGCTAAATTCTGTAAACTAGCAATTAAGTCATAACCAGTTGTCAGATATGACATTTCTTATATATATATATATTGATTTCTTGCTGTAATGTTGATTAGTTGAAAGAAATGCTTGAGTTATCTGGAAAAACCAAAGACTGGATAGTGTGAATTGAATTGTTCACAGTGGCAATTGTTTCCACTTATTTGTATGAATCCATGTCTGGGATGCAACCCTGAGGCATGAAGCTATAGGATGCCAGTGAATTTAATCATAGTGCACATTCTTTGAAAAAAAAAATGTGAATGATTTTTTTTTTTTTACTGTTATTAATGTACCCCAAGGATTAGTATAAAATATTACCTTATTCATGTCAAAGCCTAAATTGAAATCAGCATATCTTCTCTATGCCACAGGGAAAAAGATGTTACAAGTGCCCCAAGCTAAAGCTTGTGTCTGAGTTACTTAATTTCTGTCACTATTTAAATCAAAAGTTCTATAACAGGTAATGTGATGGAGATGGGGTGTAAATTCTAGTGCCCTTAAAACTCGAGTAAAACAAAACCTCTATTATGTATTCTCTATAACTAGAGCATTCAGTTTCATAAACCATGTTAAAGAAGACCTGCTAGGGGAACAAATTGCATGGGGTAAATGGATAATGAAGACAATATTTCATGCCTGTTTTCCCTGTCACAGGCAATATTACAATAGCTAGTGGTTCTCAAAGTGTGGTCCATGGATCCTAGCAGTCCCCTAGACCCTTTCAGGGGATCTGCAAGGTCAAGATTATTTTCATAATAGTAATAAGACTTCTTTTTGCCTTTTTTAGTGTGTTGACATTTGCACTGGTGGCGCAAAATCAATGTTGTGTAAAACTGCTGGCACCGTAGCACGAATCAAGACCATGACACAAAACTGTACTAGTAGTCATATTTCTTTACCTCCATATATGTACAGTTAAAAAAAGTATTACTTTTATTAAATTTTAACTCTTTTTATAGTTTGTGTGACAAAATGGGGGTTATGGAGAAAGCACTTCTGCTGTATTTTAGGGTACACTGGTAGTCTCAAAGAAAAGCACTTGTGTGGTTTCTTGGGCAGTTGAACTAGTCTTTTTTTTTTTTTTTAAACAGCACATCATTTTTACTTGAAAATGACTGACAGACAAACTATACTTACTTAGCCTGAGTATTTGGCATTTTATCCAGAATGAACAAAGTGAATCTGTCACTTCAAGAAAAAGAACTGACAATATTTGTTGCTAGTGATAAAATTTGAGCTTTTAAGCAAAAAGTTATATCCTCCACCATAAGATTGACAGCCTAAATACTTTTCTGATGACATCAGTGGTGATGTTAACAAATGTGATTTTTTGGTATCACATAATTAGGTGTGTCAACATTCAGAGGAAATGTGTAACTCAGTGAACGAGTATCTTCCAAATGACCATTGCAGGTTGTTAGAAAATCGTGCATGGGTAAAAGATCCATTCAAAGAGCAAGATAGACCAGTGGATTTTAATATAACAAAGTACAAAAAGTTCATAGATGTGGTTCCAAATTCCTTACGTACCTAACCTTGAAGAGACTTCCACTGGTCAGTTCGGGTACATTAAAGAAGAATATCTACAATTATCTATTAAAATACTCCTCCCTTTTCCAGCTACATATCTGTGTGAGGCCAGATTTGCTTCATAAATTTCAACCAAGACAACACTGACACTGGTTTAATGTAGAAGTAGTTACGAGAATCCAGTTGGGTTCTATTAAGCCAGACATTAAAGAGATTTGCAAAAATGTTCAAACAATGCCGTTCTTCTCACTAAACTTTCTCTTTTGCAATGCAGAGTCATTTCTTATAAAAATGTGATATTTATATTAACATGTAATGGGTTTATTGTTGTTACTTTTAAATGAATTGATAAATATGTTTTAAATATTTCAGTTTTAATTTCTAACAGTTAATGTTGATAACTATAAAATTCTTTGAGGATCTTGATAGTTTTTAAGATGTAGAGAGGTTCTAAAACCAAAAAGTTGAACACAATTGCAATAGGCTATGAAGAATAAATATACCCTGAACTGAATTAATTGGTACCTTTTCTCTGTCTTGGATCATTAAGGGCTTAGGTATAAAGTACCTACAAGTCCAGTTTGGCAGTGAGTCCTTACAGTTAGGGCTGAAGCATAGTTGATAAGCAGTAGCTTAAACCTGAAAATTAATGGCCAGTATGTAGTCACCTGTATAACTATAATATTTTCCTATTGTTCATTCCGGTACCTGCCATAAAGTACTCATGCCCCATACCCTGAATCTTAGTCCCTACGGTTTGCAAATAAGAAATGGAAACCCAAAGATTTGCCCAGTAACAAAATCTACATTGAAGGTGCTCCTAAACTTTTTTTTTGCCATTTGTCATATCCGTTAATAACAACTACCAGTGATTGTGTGTGTACTATGTACCAGGCACTTTACATTATCTCTAATCTTTCTAAGAACCCTACAGAGGTAGTGTTATCTTCATTCTGCAGATAAGGAAATTGATCCTTAGAGAGCTACAGTCGCTCACTCATTCACTTATTCACTGGTTTGCTAACTGAATATTTATTAAGCCCTTGTCATGTGCTAGGTAATTTCTAGGTACTAGGTCGTATAGTTTGTAAGTAGCGGAACTAGGTTTAGAATTATGACTACAAAATCAATTCTACTTTCTCAATACCGTGATACCACATCAAGATAATATTTGTTCTCTAGCTTATTTATTGAGAGAATAGTGCTGGTGTGACCAAATTAGATCATTTCTTTTGCTAAGGACCACAGATACTACCCAACCCCATGCTGCCAGTGGTCATAAGGAAAACTGGGAAAAGGACCGTTGAAAGATCATGTTAGTCAAGCCCTACTCTGGAAGAACACCAGCAAGGATGCTTGCTATTTGTTTTCCTGTTAGTGGCCATTTCATTAAGGGGACAACAAGACCCCTTCTCAGGCCCTGGAGGAAGATGGACTTTTTTGCCTGTAGCTTTGAAAGAAGAGAAGAATTGCTATATCTTTATATATCATCATGAATTTCTCTCTTGTAGATGCATCCAAAGCAAATAACAGAACTTAATGCATTCATGAAATGGCATATATGTGCTATATGTTTGTTATGGAGTTGGACAGGGAATCAAATAGCATTAAGTAGAATCAAACATTTTAATTACTCTCTTCATAAAGATTATATAGCATAGTCATTTGAAAGCAGCTGAGAGGGGAAAAATACCAGTTGGTCAAAAAAAAGAAATAGATTTTTTTCAGAAATTGAATTACTGTTTGTTACACCAAAGAATTTTTATTGATAGAAGATAATTCTAAGTAAACAGTGTATTGAGGTGGCAAAGAGGATAGATTTTTGAGTCAAACTCATATGGTTTCAAATCCTAGTCCCACCAGCTTGAGGAAATTTACCTTAGTTGGACAGGTTACTTGAGCTCTCTAAGCCTCATTTTCCTTCTCTTTAAAATCAAAATCATAATGACAACTTCGTAGAATTTTTGTACAGATTAAATGAGATAATATATACAAAGTGCTTAGCCAAATCACTGGCATATAACCAAATGGTAGTTGTTGCTAGTGTGATTAAATAGGTAAGATTTCATAACTTGAAAGAACTTTTTATCCTCATGACTTGGACATTCTCCTTTATAGTGTTAAAAATTCTTCATATTAAGAAACTGTTCCCTCAAATCTAAATATTCTGAAATTTCAACTGCTGGTATATTGCGCTACTCTTTCTTATATAACATAGGAAACTTCAATTAAAACATGAAAGTATTTTAACTAGATATTAGCATAGTAGTCTGTAAATTTTTTTAGACTGTAGTTATTCCTTACTGATTAATTGTAGAATCACTTTCCATTTTATAATAACTTTAATAGTGTAAAGTTTGACAATCTCCATGTGTTGCTAGGTAACACAACAGTGGATGAGTTAATGATGAGACTCATGGCAGCAATGGAGATCTTCACAGCCCAACAACAGGAAGATATAAAGGATGAGGTAAGGTGAAAGGTTAAGTAGACCTTTAATAGGATTTTGATGAGATAATTTGTCAAATGGTGATGCTTGCCTATGTCATGATTGGTAAATAAGGATGATGAAGATGCATTTCCAGATTAACTAAGGACTTTTATGCCATTGAGTTTACCTTTCAGTCCATTCTTTTTATGACCCCAAGACCCAACAATTTGTTTAACTTTATGGACATTTATACTTTGCTAGATTTGGAGTGGTGGCTGGAGGTCAACTTGCAGGAAATGAATTCCAAAGTATGTTTACAGAAGAAAATACAGCCCAGGAAATCCGGTCTACCATATAGGGTTTTCAGTCACTGTTAACGTCCTCGTACTCTTTTTAAATATTAAGATTGGTTAGCAGTAAACACATTTCACATTTGAACGTATTTTTGAAGCACTGTAAGAATTAGTAAAAGATCTCCAGAATTCTGGATTTCTCCATCTCCCAAGCATATTTAAATGGTATAGATGACATGAGCATGGAACCTCAAATAAAATAATAGTAACAACAATATTAATAATGACAATAGTAGTCAACACTTACTGAATATTTATGATGTGCTAAGCACTGTGGTAAGCACTTTACATTTATCATCTCATGTGATCCTCAAAACAACCTCATGAGGTTGTTTATGAGTCAGACAGAGTTCTGGGAGGAAACAGATGGCACTTTCAAACTAGGTTATTTGAGAAAATTTAATAAGGGAACTGTTTATAAAGATATAGACAGGGTTTATGGAAGTCAACAATGGATAGTACAGACTCTAGGGCTAAAGGGAGCCCTTACCACCCCTGGCATAAAGGTCTAGGAGAGGGTAGGTTATGGAGAGAACTGCTTCTGATAGAGGGATATAGCCAGCCCTTGGTGACCTGGTAGGGAGGAAACCAGAGAATAGCTTCACTTTCCTTCCACACGCTGAGCTCCTGCTAGTACCTCCTATTGACATAACCTAATGGGAAGCTGAAAGGCAAGAGAACCTCCCTGGTCAAAAAGCTAGGTGGAGCATGGATACTGAGGGCCAAATGGAAGATAATCTAGCACAGATTGGTATTATTATCTCCACTTTTCAGATGAGAAAACTAAGGATCATAAAGGTTAAGTTAATTTACCTAAGGTCACACAGGTGGTAGGACCTATAATAATCTCAAGTAATCATTAGTACTTTATCCGTCAAGAAATTTCTGAACTTGGAAAATAGCCTTAAGATAAAATATGAAACAAACACTAGCATTTGTTGATTTGAGGTGTTAAGTTCACAGATATTTATAAAATTATCCTTTTTAATTTTCTGTTTGTTTTTAATTAAAAAAAAAGATTTCCATAGAACAAATAAGGGAGAGTTTGATTTCTGAGGAATGATCAGAAGTTTCCAGGTATGATGAGTGTTTTCAATAGAACACCCTTTAGCTATTGCAAATGGGAAACATGTAGATAATTTCATTATAACCTTGTACTATTGTATTTCACTGTATTTACTTGTTTCTGTCTTCCATTAGACTGTTTATTAAGAGCAAAGGTTGTATCATATTCACATTTGTAACTCTATCCCCTAGCAGTGTACCAAGGACAAAGTTGGCACTCAATAAATGTTTGTCAAATGATTGAATAAATGAATACTTGAAAGAATTTATATGAAATAATGTGACTTGAAAAAATAATACTTGATTACAATGGTATAAAACCTGGTGTATCCATATTAACAAATATGAAAATTTGGAGTGCTATAACTAGTTTAGTGTTTTAATGCTCATTAGATTTCTTTTATTGCTGTAAAAATGTTAATTTTGTAATTTTTCTTAATAGTCAGTGTTTCATTTACTCTGAAGGAAAGGTAATCGGGTATATGGTTGAAAGATGTTTATCTGTTACTCTAAATTGACAGTGACATTTTGAAATAATGAAGTACTGTACTTATTTAGGAATTTGTAATAATAGGTGTGTTGCCATTCAAGATTACGTTTATCCTGGAATAGAGGCATTGATTGACAATAATTCACTAAACTCGTTCTTCAGCCGTCTTAAATCTTGAGTCTCAGTACTAGATTTACAGATTATGCTGTATAATAATGTGAATGCACAATATTTGCATGCATATTCCCAGTTCATTCTTTCATCTGAGTTTGTGTTCCTTATAATTCATTGGTAAAGAAATTGACTTTAATTCCTTTAATACGGAGCACAAAATTTAATACGAGGGTTACAGGAAAAATCCAAGGCTCCATATAATTGAAATTTTTATTGAAATTTAACTGCAAGAGGTAAGAATTTCTCTTTGTTTTTAGAGTGTCTTTATGAAAGTTATCATTCAGGTCACAAGTAGAGTTCCTAAGAAAAGCTTTTCTAAATTTAAAGACTTCTTTTGGACTATGCAGAGATCATAATGATTTGGTATCTGCTCAGTATGTGACAAGAAACACTGTCCCTTGTAATTGGGAATTTGCCTTTTTAAAAAATTTCAAGTAAGACTTTATCTTAAGCTTGTAATTAAAATCACATTCGTGAACAGATTTGGAGGATGGCTTCCTAGGCCTGAATTTATTTAAACTTAACTTTGGTTCACTTACATCCATCACTTCAGTGATTCCATCATATTAGTGCAACCAAAAATGTCTATACTATATAAAGCTTTTATTAAATAAAACCAAGCCTAAACCATATTCATACCCTGAATCATTCTTCAGTGGCCCAGAGTGGACTAACCTGTATATCACTAATTATTCTATCTCTAACCAAGAAGTATATATTATATGAGTCTCTGTTTTGACAGAACTGCCTATAGCTTTATTCATAGACATTTTCATTAATGGTATTAGTCTGGTTTTGTGTTTACTGAGCATCTATCAAGTACATAGCACTGGACTAGGTCCTGAGGACAGAGAGGTGCTTTGCTCTGATGAAAGGCTATTGGCAGAGAAGGGATGAGGAGGAAAGCAAATATCACTACATGGCAGTAGCACATTTTAGAATCTATTTTTGCTTACAGCCTGGTTCCAAACAATAGGTGCTTTCTAACCTGTAAATGGATTCAATTTTTTTCATATGCACTATTTTTTTAGCCATGAGTAATTTAGAAACCTCTGATTATCCAGAGTTTATGGTACCTAGTTCCTAATCTATTTATTGTTTTATTCATTTGTTTGTTTGTTCATCCATTCAACACTAACTTATTTAGGATCCTATATTATAGGTGCAAGGATTACTCCTTTCCAGCCTAACCTCTCTGGTTAACTTGTATCTGAGCAATAGCTCAGTAACTGTCACAATCCAGATATTAGAGATCAGGGCAGATTTCAAGGGCAGTTACATCATTTTCATTTCTTTAGTAATTCTAAGAATATACTGTTGGAACATGGGCAAAATATGCCAGAGGGACAGTCTGGGCCTATCTTAAAGGGTGCTGATTTGGACTCAGAAACAGTACTGCCACAGCACAGGGCGGCCATGCTTATTGGCTCATGGCAGCTTTTGTGTTGCCAAAGGCAATTGTTGGCTCTGTGGTTTGCTGCATGGAATGTGTAGCTTTTTTGTCCTAAGCTTTGTCTTTATCTTAGTGTTTTAAGCACTCCACTCATTTTCCTTTCCTCTATTTAAAATCTCACCATTGTCATACTATTCTCTTTCCAGAGCCAACAATGATAAACAGGATACAGATTCTGGCTTCTGTTGATGTTTTCTTTAAAACAGGAATAAGTCATCACAAGACAGACAGAGAATAAAAACACTATATTTGTGCAAAAACTAAAGTGAAACATAAAACAGACCAACCTTCAAAAGGATATTTTGCTATCAGTCTTTTAGAAAATATATCTGGACTACTTCCTGAAGGTACCAAGGATACTGGCCAGTAGTTCTGTTAGGAGAGTTTTCCCTGATAGAGCTGCATGTCAACTTATATGTGAGATACAAAAAAACCAAAAATGCAGTATTTTTAAACATCAGAATTCTACTGAAAATGCAATAGTCATAGAAGATCTAATACCCAACAGTAACTTTGAGCAGGAAGGGCTAACTGAGTTAACTGTTGAGGATTAGGGCACTAAATGGATAGCTGAGTATACCATAGATGACTTTCTGTAGGTAATTGCTTTCTGTTCAGAAAAAGGATTCTTTTCTTTTTTTTAGATATAATTTACATATGACATTGGATTAGTTTCTGGTGTACAACATAATGATTCGATATTGGTATATATTGCCAAATGATCACCACAGTAAATCTAGTTAACATCCATCACCACACATAGTTACAATTTTTTTTCCTCATAATGAAAACTTTTGAGATCTACTCTGTTAGCAACTTTCAAATGTACAATACAGTATTGTTAACTATAGTCACCATGCTGTACATTATATTTATTTTATAACTGAAAGTTTATACCTTTTGACCACCTTCACTCATTTTACTCACCCTCTACCCACCCTACCCCCCAACCCCCATCTCTGGCAACCACCAGTTGTTCTCTGTGTCTGTGAGCTTGATATTCTTTTTTTAGGTTCTGCATATAAGTGAGATCATATAGTATTTGTCTTTCTCTGACTTATTTCACTTAACCTAATGCCATCAAGGTCCATCCATGTTCTCGGAAATGGCAAGAGTTCCTTCTTTTTTATAGCTGAATAATATTCCTGTGTGTGTGAGTGTATGTGTGTATACCACATTTTCTTTATCCATTCATCCGTTGATGGACATCTGGTTGCTTCCATGTCTGGGCTATTGTAAATAATGCTGCAGTGAACAATGGGGATGCATATATCTTTTCAAGTTAGTGTTTTCGTTTGCTTTGGTTAAATACCCAGGAGTGGAATTACTGGATCAAATGGTAGTTTATTTTTAATTTTTTGAGGAATTTCCAAACTGTTTTTCATGGTGGCTACACCAATTTACAATCCCACTAACAGTGAACAAGGGTTCCCTTTTCTCCACATTCTTGCCAACACTTGTTATTTCTTGTCTTTTTGTAATAGTCATTCTAACAGGTGTGAGG